CTCTACTCTCTGAATTCCTTGTATTTTAAGTTAAGTGTAATGGTTCTCACATACCTCTTTCTGGCTGATGTTCTTCTATTTATATGTTTTCTCTCTTGGGCCTCGGGGTTGGACCCACCTTCAGTTCACCATTCGACTTCTTTTGTAGCGAACTGCTTTTCACTCGAACCCTTGCCCAACCGGCCATTTGACCGAATAAGGAAGGATTTGATCATGCGAGATGGAGCCAAATGCTATATATGGCCCCCACAGTCTCTATGCCCGTGGTGAAGCCCTTGACTTTGCTCGATTTCGATAGTTCAGTGTTCAACAGTAGCGACACAACAAGGGCTACATGGAGTTATCGGCGTCAGAGAGATTTCGACATCGAAGGACGACGAGCTCGAACTCCAGTTCCACGGCGTTGAGGTAGTGGGGGAAGGAAATGGAGGCAAGGTTCTCTTCCTTCCCCTCATCTAGCTTCTACTTCGGCGACATTTTGTTCTTCAGTAGCTCCACGGCACTTCACAGGCTAGTTTTCAGTACCCACTCTTCTAATGGTGATTTTGTTCTTCTCTCTCAGTTTTTGAATCTCATGCTTGATACTCACAAATCACATATAGGTGTGGTTTTTATTTATTTACTTATTTTTCCTAAGCTTGTGAAACTCAAATTCCAAATTTTGAAAATACAATGGAATGGACCTCTATTATTTGGGCATATATTGTGATTTGTCCTTTGTTGTTTGAAAAGTTCTTATGTCGCTTTTTCTTCTTTTGAGGAGTGAAGATTGAGTTCAAAAAAAAATTAGAAATAGATTTATCTGAGATTTGAAGACAACACAAACAAAAGAATTTCTCTGGACCAAAGAATTTCTTTGGATTGAATTTTCTCTGGTTTGGATTGAAATTTTCTCTGGCTTGGACCAGAGAACTTCTCTGGTTTGGATTGAAATATTCTCTAGCTTGGCTAGACCAGAGAATTTCTTTGGATTGACTTTTTTCTGGTTTGATTTGAGAGATCTTAGATATTATGAAAATATTGAATATCTTTTATGCTATAAAATCTTAATATCAGATATCTTTAAAAAAATCCCCATTATATTTTAGTTCAATAGCAAATTTAAATTAAAGTTTGTTGACTAAAACATGAATACGGTGTTTGGTTAAGAGATTTGGAAAGAGAAAGAGAAAATGTGTGTGAAATTAAGTGAAATGTAGATATATTTTATTTACATTTTATCTTTATCTTTTTTTTTCGATTTCTAAATCTCTTTCCATATCTTCGAACTAAACACAACGTAAGATTAATTACTTGTATATCACTTTTGAAAATAAGATGGTGAATTAATATTCAAATACTACCAAATAATTTTCTTATTCAACCACTAATATCTATATCTTAGAGGTATGTTTGTTTGGATGAACTGGATAAGAGAGGATTGGAATCCACTGAACTGTTAGTTTTGGGATATATTGTCCCCAGACTATTTGGTTGAACTGTATTTGTATTCCATATTTGTTTTGTCATGAGATTAGATGTCATGAAAGAACTATTTGGTTGGATATGATATGAATCCTATGTTTGTTTGGAATATTATGGAGAATGATAAATGTTCAAATGACTATTTTACCTTTTTCAATTATTTACTAAATAATACCAATATTAAACATATCTTTAATATTTTAATTATTTTTTACTAGATTAAATAAAAATTTATTTTATTTTATTTTTTACACAATTAAATAAATTTATTTTTTAAAAATTAAATAAATAAAATATCAATAAAAATATATGTTATTTTTTAATTAAAATTTTAAATAAATTTATTTTAAATAATAATAATAATTAAATAATAAAATAAAATATCTATAAAAATTATTTTAAAAAATTAAATAAATAAAACATTAATAAAAAGTTAAATAAAATTATTTTATTTTTAAATTGAGACATTTAAATTTTATTAAATTTTATTAAATATAATACATAATTAAATAGTAGATGGTCAAAATGATCATTTCATCACCTAATCTCATATCCCCTTATCCCTCCATTTGTCTCTCACTCCTTCCTATAAGACATAATAGTCTAATAAATTTGAAACTAATAATCTAAAGACACTAATAATTCAGTACAAAAATATTAAATTAAATAATAAATTATTAATTCAAATAGACTAATAATCTAATCTCCCTCCTCAATCCCCCAAGACAAAACTCACCCACCAAGCAGTAATGACTCAAATCATGTAATCAACTACGCCCACCAAGCAGAAATGACACAAGTCATGTAATCAACCACACATGGTGGCCTGGTGGAGGAAGCTGCCCATTCCTCAGCCGAGGAATTAGGTCAATTTTTGGAAGGGGTATTTGAGATCATTCCTTGTGAGTAATGCCTTTATTCTCCTCAGTCTCTGGCCTCTGTTGCGGCGTGGAGTTGCCCTCTATTAGTGTCTTAATGGTGGGTCTCTCACTTGGTGAGGATTAATTCTTAGCTGGCAACCGATTACCCCAGAACTAGGGCCCAACAAGACTGTGATGACACCACATAACTCTTTTTTTCCTGTTCAAAAAAAAAAAAAAAAAAAAAAAAAAAAACCACACGACATAAAAATGTGTCGTTATTATAGCATTACTAATTAGATCAAAACAGAGCCTCAAATGTTAGTGGGACCAACAAACCTAAGGGTTGGTGGTGGTGAGACTTTTGAGGAGTGAATGAAGTAGTGGGGTAGGAGTTTCTAGGTCATCGTCTCACCAACTTCACCCCTGTTTGTTTCCTCTTTCTCTCCTCTCTCTCTCTCTCGTACATACGATACGTGACATGTTCTATTCAACGCACCGTGTGTAATTTTGTTACAAAATTCTCTCTTGTACATACATGACATGTTCTACTGAATGCAGTGTACAATTTTATCACAAAATTCTCTCTCGTACATACATGACATGTTCTATTCAATACGCCGTATATAACAAAAAAAAATTATATAAATTAGTGTAAATTTATAAAATAATATAAATTTTTATAAATTTATGTAAATTTATATTTAACTTATATATTTTTATAAAATTATTTATGTATATTTACAAAAATTTATGTTATTTGTGATAGAATTGCATACAATATGCATTACATACCGGAGTATTTCCCTCGTTGAATGACACGTGAATGTGATGTTATTCCAATAATAAAATAAGTAGAAATTACCATGTAGTTGTATTTTTACAAAATTATTATAAATTGATGAAAAAAATTTAAAATTTTTAATTATTAATATTTATAAAATTTTATTGATTTATAATTAGTTTTTAAATTATATACTCAATTTAAATCTCCTCATAAAATAACACATGACCTATATAGTCAAAGCTATTAAATTGGAATAAAACACATATAAGTATTTTAATTATTGGATTGATGGTGAAGTATGAACCCAACATCTATTATTCTTGATATCATGTTAAATTTATTAACTACCAACTTATTTAAAATTTTAAACAGCAATTTTATTATTTAATATTTTTAATAGGAACACATGTTTGGAGCCTAATGTTGTGTTTTGACTTGAATGGGTGTGAGAATGCTAAGCTAGATTAATCTAATTTCAAAAAATATGAGAGAGAAATAGATTTGTTTTACCAAATCACTAACCAAACAGTACAATCAATCAACCACAAATGAACTAACAATAATATTTCTGGTTGGCATTAATTAGTTCAACCAATAGAAAAGTATATTATTTGTTCTTTCTCGTTCTTTGTTTTAGAAAAATTATATTCATACATAAAATTCATAAAAAAAAACTTAACAAAAATGATGTGATATTGT